AATCAAGTCTATTACGGAGTTGGGTTGGTGGCAAAAGTGAAATGAAGATTATAGACAATGAAAGTGTTTTCTGTACTATTTGTGATAAAAAGGTGAGTCCAATTATATTTTAACGATTCAAAAATTTATTTTAAAATCTCATTTTTGCAAGAAAATCGGTATACCTATACTAAACATGTAACAGTTTGACTATTGGCGGTAGTTTTAGTTCTGAGAAAAAAAAATATAAGTTATCTTAAAAATTTGAAGTCTATATTATTGCATTAGACTCCTATTTACTAAACCGTTTTATTACAGATTGCATGTGAAAAAAAATCCAAATTCCCCAACACCTGAAACCGGCTCTCCACCAATATAAACTATCTAAGGACTTCAAGAAACCACGCCAGCAGCTTCTACAGAACATTATTCAAAATTATCATACATCGACGGGGCAAGAAATGTTTGCAAAAGCCGGAAAAGAGATGAATATCTGTGGATATCTGTCGACGAGACTACTGACGCCAGGAAAGGCGTTTAGAAAAAACCAACTATGCAACAACTGCTCGACTTGTTAATGAATCTTTGACAAACTTCTTTTTACCGAATCAAGTATCTTCTGAAAAAATTTTGCTACTAGTTAGCGATGCCGCTTCCGACATGGTTAAAGCTGTTACTAGTCTTAAGATTTTTTTTCTGAATGTGATTCATTGTACATGTTAGCGCATGGTTTAAACAGGTTGGCAGAGAAAGTTAGAATTAAGTTTCCAAATGTAAACACTTTAATCAACAATGTAAAGAAAGTATTTTTAAAAGCACCAGTGCGAGTAGAAGTATATAGGAGATGCTTCCCGATATCCCTTTGCCACCGGAACCAGTGTTGACTAGATGGGGGACGTAGTTGAATAGTGCCACATTTCTTGCAAATAATTACATTGATATCAAAAATGTTATATGAAATTTTTATCTTTCTTGTATTGCTGTTCAGAAATGTCAAAATATTTTTAGTGAGAATTCTGTTCAGAATGAACTGTCCTATATAAAAGCTAATTTTGACATAATTGTAAACTCTATTACAAAACTAGAGAGTCAAAAATTATCTTTAAATGATAGTATTTGCATTGTTGATTCTGTCAAGGAAAGAATTGTAAACCTTTCAGGAACAAAAAAAATTAAAGATAAATTTAGTGTAGTTTTAAACCGGAGTGAAGGCTTTTCTTTATTGCGATCAATAAATAACATAATCAATGAAAGCCTTAACGAAGTTATTAATATGGATCCCTCGCTAATGTCAAATTTTAGATTTGCGCCAATTACATCCCGTGATGTTGAAAGATCGTTTTCCTCATATAAACACATATTAACTGATAGAAGGCATAACATTTTACTCTTGAAAATATTGAACATTTTATGATTATATACTGTAACAGCAAGAACGAGGACATTTTCTTGTGAATTTTCATTTATATTTTTTTAATGCATATTGCATATAATAAAGGCATATGTGGTTACTTTTAAGTGCATGTTGCATGCATATTTTAACCATTTATTAGAGCATATAATCCAGTCTTTAGTTATAAGTTACCTCTTTGAAAAAATAACAAAATTAGCCCAAAACTAGTTTTATAGCTATTCACATCATAAATACATATCGGCCTTGGTCTTGGTACAACCTTTGCATTTTTCTTTATAAGATGTTTTTGTGTTGAATGGCTGATTTTTATCGCATTGTATGTTGTATGGGTGTTTGGTGATTTATTCTTTTTCTTTTGTAGCTGAATGATTGCTACGTTGTTTTCTTGTGGTTATCACTTACATAAGTGGACAAAATCATGCTCAATTATATTATTTTATGACAAGAAAAGAGGATATAAGTGAATGTAAGGAGTTTAAAGTAATAGTCTGACTGTGAACGAACAAATAAGTTACTTGTGCTTGACACTGAAGTAAAAAACAAAAATAAACCAATGTATCTTATAGGAGCACAAAAAATCAAATGGCGGATGTTTAAAGGTTAAAAAAAAGTTTACTAAATACAAAAATAGTAAGAAACTGAGCTGGAACAAAAAAAAAATACTAAAACAATTTGTTTCGCGGCCGGATATATAACTTCAAAACTATAAGGTCTCCAAAAAGTAAGTGAAAGAAACAGTAGAAAAGTATTATTCTGAAGCTATTTTCTTGTGGCATTTTAAAGTAATTACTATTTAAATGGGAATAAGCCACAATTTAAGTGGGTTTAAGAATTGCGAAGTGTGGAAAAGCACATACCATCAGTGAAGAACTAGCTCTGCCTGCCGCACAAGATATGGTAACGTGTATTTTTGGGAAGAATTCAAGTAAACAGCTTAGTATTATTCCATTATCCAATGATACCGTACGTCGTTGGATTGAAATATTGGCATTAAATGTTAAAGAAAAATTGGTAAACGGGATAAAAAATAGTATTTTTTGCAATATAACTTGATGAGCGCACAGATGTAACAAACTATGCTCAGCTTATGGTTTATGTGCGATATATATTTCAAAACCAAAATCGAAGAAGATAACTTAATTTGTGAGGCGTTAACGGAACGAACTACTGCCGATGAAATATTCAAGAAAATCATTGACTTTTTGTGGAAAATGGACTAGACTGGAAACAATGCGTTGGTTTCTGTTCGGATGGTGCCCGAGCCATGATAGGAAGATACGGAGGTGTAACTGCCAAAGTAAAATTGGTTGCAGAAAATTGTACTTGTTATCCATTGTAGTATCCACAGAGGAGCTTCGGTAGCAAAGCGAATGCCAGATGAATTTAAACATGTTCTCCATGAAGCCGTTCAGATAGTCAATTTCATAAAATCTCGAGCCTTAAACTGGCGTTTATTTTCAAAACTATGCTCTGAAATGGGAACTGATCATATTCAGTTATTGTTATATACAGAGGTAAGATGGTTATCAAAAGGAAAAATATTGAACAGGTTATTTGAGTTGCGTTCTAAAGTACATGTGTTTTTAATGGAACCCAATTTTGAACTGCGTGATCGATTACTAGATGAATTGTGGCTCACGACACTAGCTTACTTAACAGACATATTTATTTGATTAAATGACCTAAACATGACCTAAACTTAAGCTTACAAGGTAAATCACATACTCGATTTTCTGTAAACTACAAAATAAATGCTTTTATCAAGAAATATGATGAAAAATAGTGTTTCAAACAAAGACTTAGAGTCGTTTACCAATTTATAAAATTTTGTGGTTAAGCATAAAATAAAAATTAAAGATGATCTTATTTTTAACATAAAACAGCATTGTCAAATTCTAATAGTTTTAAAGAATATTTTGACGAAGACTATGATCTTTGGATACGACAACCATTTATTTTGGATAGCATTCCTGAAACATTAAAACAGGATAAAAATAAATCTTTAATAGAACTATCTTATGATGGGGGTTTGAAAATAGAGTTTTTAAAATTAAAGAAAAATAAATTTCGCAGTAGGCTTAATCTCGATCCAAATTTACAAATGAAACTAAGCATAATTGATCCTGATATCGATTCACTTGTTATGGCTATGCAGAACCATCCTTCTCACTGAATTTTTGGACTGGGGTAGACTGTAAGTTTTATTTTGTAATAATTATAATGCCTTTTTTTAAATAAATGCATTTTTACCAAAATTAGTCAATCTTATTATCTACTTTTAATACGTGGTACGCGATTGACGCAGAATTTATATAAGTGGTACTTGTTAAAAAGTTTGAGAATCGCTGCTCTAGAGAGAGAATAAAATAAAAATATACCCGGAGAGATAGTAAAATTAACCCTAGAGAGAATAAAAACAAACCTCGGAAACAAAGTTAACAAATAAAAAAGATATATGTAACTCTATCAATATAAACAAGTGCAATAAAACTCTGTAGGCTCCATTAATTAGGATTTTATTTTCCGGACATTCTACCAAAAAAATTATAGAAAACTAAATTATAGGAGGCTTCGGCTACCAAAAAAAATCAAAAAGTACTACAAAAACCGGCACAAGCCACCAAAAAAATTAACAAAATCTAAAAACCCTGGGCACGTAGTGCCCAACCCCTTAAAGGGCGAAGTCTTCGAATCGGGCGCAGCCCAGAGCGGAGTGTTGAGTCCCAAGCAAGCAATTTCAGTTTTGTGGATAAGTCACTAGAGGATAACAGGAATAAAGCGCTTAACGCTAGCCTGAATTTGAATCGGAGGAGTACCACGTTGGAGTTCTTTTACTCAGGACTCCCACATAAAGAGCATTTGGCTGATAGTTATGCCCTTATCGCGCATCAGAGTGCTATAGGGGAAAATGGGATAGTCTGGAGCATTTGAGTAAGAAGAAGTGCTCCTGTTTACACATGAATTAATAAAACTCGCTCAAATAAACTATTCACCAAAACGTAATTTCAATGGGCGAACAAGTTTCTTAGGCTGGGTTCAAATAAATCGCTTGCTTGCAAATACATCACTTGAGAAATAATATAATAATAAATTTTTATGAAAGTGTTGAAAGCAAAAGTTTTTAGAGTTTTATGATATGATAAAATGAACTTCATCAAGTAATCGTCGAATCTATCACTTAATTAAAGAATTCTTTTTATAATTTAATTTGTCAGATTTTGTTGCCACAGCAACAATTTTTCAATTTTATATTTTATATCGGTCCTTTCAAATGACTATACACGAATATATTTATTTTTTATTTTTAGAACAAATCAGGAATTTCTTAAAAGTAAAATTTCTTTTATCATAATTGCAGTAAGGTCAAAATCATTTTAATCAGTTACTGTGTTGACCTAGTGTATGTAAAAACAATATTTCCTTATAATGGTTTTCACAGAACAGCACCCTGCACCTGAATCTCCGGTTTATCCAAGAAATAAAACTATTTTGAAAATTGCTTAAAAGATCTTACGTGACCTCTAGACTTTGGACCGACGATAAGAATTAATTTAGTTCCTATATTTTTGTAAAATTTCTTGTGGTATCATTCGAAGTCGAGTATGTCAAAAAGATAGGTATTAGTGAAATTTTCGCTCAAAATGGTGGCAATAGACAAAAATTCGAGTGTTTTTATGCAAACGCTGTTTTACCTTATGAACCAGAGTAATATTGTACAGGATACTTCGTACAACTATTACTTTATGCAAATCGGACAAGGTATGTTTTTAAAATTATTTATTTGATAAGCTTGATTAGGTTAATTATTTTGTAAATATTTTTTCTGTTGCTGTACACCTATAAATTTATAGAACCACTTATTCTATCAATTTCAGTTATAACACTACTAAATAAAATGATCCCAATTTAGGTAAATTTATAGTAGGAAAGTTTTTTCAGAATATTTTTAAAAAATTAAGATAGTTTTCTTTTTGCAGTCACATGTAAAGATATGTTCTAATTTTTATTTCCATATCTTATATGGAAATATTTCCATATTTTCCTTATATTACTTTTAATACATAGTCAATTTTTTAATATTTTTACTCGAAAAATATTTATCTTATATTAGGTTATTTCTGAATACCTAGATATACTATTTAGCTGAGAATAAGCCACAATTAAAGGTAAAAATACGTTTATTGACGTTTCAATTTCCACTTCGGAAATCGTTCTCAAAATACAAACAATTTAAAAATTAATTTAAAATGCCACAAGAAAATAGCTTCAGAACAATACCTAGATATACCTCGTATCATTATAAATAATTTGAAATCTGTTCCCGTCTCCATATAATTCCTCTTTTATTATGACGTGCATCTAAAGGTACATTATTTATACAATAATCATAATTTACAAACTCTCTTGTTCTTCCAAAAGTAATTTTAAAACATTTTTGTATATTTAAGTATAGCACACCAATTATCTAAGCTTTTAATGTCATTCTGTAACAAAGAGGCATCAACTAGGTCATTAACTATTCGAAATATTTTAAGGTCATTAGCAAACGTTGAAATCCGCTTGACATATAGAATATCTTAGACATATAATCAGAGGACCAAGATATGAGTTCCTTCGGCTAATTCTCAACGGTAAAATCGAAGGAAAGAAATGGATAGGACGAAATAAACTCTCTTGGTTGAGGAATTTGCGGCAGTGGACAGGTTTGACAGCGGACCAATTGCTACACGTAGCGCAAGATCGAGATCAGTATAACAATATTATAAGCATGGTAGTCGCCGACGTTCCGTAGGGATATGGCACTCTAAGAAGAAGAAGAAGAAGCAAACATTAGAAATTTACTATTTTTAATCACTGAGGATATATCATTAACAAATATATTAAATAAGAGAGGTCCAATATGAGACCCCTGAGGAACTCTTGAGGTTATGGATACTCGTTGAGATAAACAATTTCCATATTTAACATACTGACATCTACCAGATATATAACTACCTATCCACTCAATTATTTTACCTCCAAATCCATAGCCATTTAATTTAGCAATAACCAGATCATGGTTAACTCTATCGAAGGCTTTTGCGAAGTCTGTGTAGATAGCGTCAACCTGACCCTTCTGTTCCACTGAATTAGCTATAAAATTCGTATACAGTATTAAGTTCGTGCATGTAGACTTACCTTTAGACAAGCCATGTTGTCCAACATCAATTAAATCTTTACAATTCCACGTCAAAAAGTTATTTACAAGACACTCAAAAAGTTTGGGTAATACAGATACAAACCGCTCGATAATTTTCAACATCATTTTTATTACCAGATTTGAAAATTGGTGTTAAATAACTAGTCTTTCAAAGATCAGGAAAGATGCCGGTACTCAATGAGGAATTAAATAAGTAGCAGATAGGTTTTACAAGAGTAAAAATGCAATGCTTGAGAACATAAGCTGGCAAACAATCTGGTCCAAGCGATAATTTCCAAGGCATCTTTAAAACACTATCAATTATGTCAGAGACCTCAATACTATAATTATTCACATTTACACTCTGCTGATAGTTAAAAATCTAAAAATTAACCTCTGCTGAGGTTAGTTCAAAAATAAAATTAATGTTTGGGGTAGGAAAAAAAGCTTACGCTTTGCTGACAAAAAATAATTATAGGTCTAACTTTGAATATTTTATCATTAGGCGTTCGATTTCTGCTAAAAACAAGTATTGAAGAATCAACAAAAATTTATTTCGACTCATGTGAGTAAAAAAAGCTTCTATTTTAAGCAGCGGATCTTTCCTTTTCTAATATTCTAAATATAGTATTAGTACAAGTATAAATGCTTGTAACTCACTGGGCGTTATATGTTTGCATTTAGTTATTAGATTCCTGTTGTTATCCCTTCCACAAAAAAGATAGATCTTGCATATTGGTTGGATTGGTTTTAAACTTTTAAAAATTCTTCAGTCATTAACAGTCTAAAATAGTCTGAGGATTTATTACTAGGCAAAGGCACCAGTAACTCTTGATTTTGTGTAAAGACAATATTCTTGATAGTTATTGTATTATCTTTGCATTCAAAATTTGCTATTTTCTTTTTACGTGCATATCGTGCATATTATGTTAGTAGGGAAATACATATCAATATTGTCTACATAGAAATAAACTAATAAACTATAAATTTGTAATATTTAACATAATTTAACACTGTTACGTTCTGCCTGAGTGTATTTTTAGGAAAAATATTGCAGTAGGAAATGAAGGACTAAAAAAACTTTAGATAAAAAACCACAAATGCCAAATGTATATCTCTATTTTTTGGTTCTATTTGGTCTCTATATTCTTTATAAACTTCATCGTTGTTTGTAGTCAGCCATTTTCTGTATAGTTGCTTTTTTTTCAATTATTCTTTTTGTTGGTTCATTTATTTCATAATAGTGTTGTTTATTTGTTTTACGCTCTTTTTCTGCAAGGGCTTCGAATGCTGCTTATTTTATATGCTCGTATATTTCTTCGATGTTGCCGTTTTTAAATTCTATTAGTTGTTGGTCTAGACGTTGTTGGTATAGTTCTCTTATTGATTGTTCTTTGAGTAGTTGTATATTGTATTATTTTTCTCTTATAGTGTTCAACGATTCTTCTGTAGGGGGGTCTTGTTATGTTTCCAATTAATGCCCATTTTTGGTGTCAATATTTTATGGACCGTTCCACATTCTGCTCCTCTTCTGACTCGCACATATTTGATCTTTTTGTGGTATCTTGTTTGATTATTATGTAGTCTATTATCGATTTCAGCTTTCGTGTTTCTTGCGTTCATGTATATTTATGAATATTTTTAAGTCTGAAGAATCCGTTGGTGATTGTTTAGTTCGCATAATTCAATCAGACGTTCTCCGTTATCGTTTTGTTCATCCTCTCCAAATCTCCCTACTACTTTATCGTTTTCTTTCCTTCCGGTTCTGCCGTTATGGTCTCCTGTTATAATTATCTCCACGTTCTTTTTAATAAGCTCTATTTTATGTTGAAGTTGTTCCGTAAAATGTTCTTTTTCTACTCTCGGGGAATCGTCTGTAGGTGCATATGAGGAATTCTACAAAAATTCGCACCTTAACTGAAGCCAAATATGGTGATATTGCAATTTGCTGCCCGTACCCCGCAGTAACAATTTTTTTCTATAGGTTGATACCAAAAAACTACCAAATTTAAGTTTATTCCAACAAAAAACTGATTTGTTCGCTAAAGGTATTTCATTCTTCTAGCGATCTGTCTCGAAAAACGAGTTCTATACTAAAGAGACTTCTATACTTGGAGCACACGTACATATCAGGTACCAATTGCTTTGTCTTCGTCTCCAGAAGGAACTATGACCCTTTGAAGAGCCAAGAAACACCTGCTCAAAGCGTGGCAAGCGGTTATTCAGTCCCTAAAATCGACGTTTTTTCATTTTTTTCGCCATTTTATCCGAAAATAGAATAAAAGATCTCTATAGTTAGAGCACACATACACATTAGGTACCAATCGCTTCGTCTTGATCCCAAAATGAATTCTGACCCTTTAAAGAGCCAAGAAACACCTGCTCAAAGCGTGGCAAGCGGTTATTCAGTCACTAAAATAGATTAAAAGATACCTCTGTAGTTGGAGCACACATACATATTAGCTACCAATCGCTTCGCCTTGATCCCCAGAATGAATTCTGACTCTTTAGAGCCAAAAAACATATGCTCAAAGCGTGGCAAGCGGTTATTCAGTTACTAAAATCGATGTTTTTTTCATTTTTTCGCGATTTTACCCGAAAATAGATTAAAAGATAACTCTATAGTTGGAGTACACATATATGTTATGTACCAATCGCTTCATCTTGGTCCCCAGATTGAACTCTGACCCTTTGAAGAACAAAAAAAAAGCTCAAAGCGTGGCAAACGGTTATTCAGTCCCTAAAATTGACGTTTTTTTCATTTTTTTGCAACTTTATCCGAAAATAGATTAAAAGATACCTCTATAGTTGGAGCACACATACATATTAGGTATCAATCGCTTTAACTTGATCCCCAAAATGAATTCTGACCCTTTGAAGAGCCAAGAAACACCTGCTCAAAGCGTGGCAAGCGGTTATTCAGTCACTCAAATCGACGTTTTTTTTTTATTTTTTCGCGATTTTACCCGAAAATTGATTAAAAGATACCTCTATAGTTAGAGCACACATACAAATTAGGTACTAATCTCTTTATCTTGATCCCCAGATTGAACTGTGACCCTTTGAAGAACAAAAAAAAAGCTGAAAGCATGGCAAACGGTTATTCAGTCCCTAAAATTGACGTTTTTTTTCATTTTTTTCGCAATTTTATCCGAAAATAGATTAAAAGATACCTCTATAGTGAAAGCACACATACATATTAGGTACCAATCGCTTCGTCTTGATCCCCAGAATAAATATTGGCCCTTTGAGGAGCCAAGAAACACCTGCTCAAAGCGTGGCAAGCGGTTATTCAGTCCCTAAAATCGACGTTTTTTTCATTTTTTCGCGATTTTACCCGAAAATAGATTAAAAGATAGCTCTATAGTTGGAGCACACATACATACTAGGTACTAATCGCTTCGTCTTGATCCTCAGAATGAACTCTGACCCTTTGAAGAACCAAGAAACACCTGCTCAAAGCGTGGTAAGCGGTTACTCAGTCCCTAAAATCGACGTTTTTTTTCATTTTTTCGCGATTTTACCGGAAAAGATTACCGATCAAGTTAAAATGACTTCCGTAAGTGAGGTTCATCTACCT